GGGTCTGTGGTAGGGTGATGGGGTGGTTTGTTGGGTAATGGGGTCTGTGGTTGGGTGATGGGGTCAGTGGTTGGGTGATGGGGTGGTTTGTTGGGTAATGGGGTCTGTGGTTGGGTGATGGGGTCCGTGGTTGGGTGATGGGGTGGTTGGTTGGGTGATGGGGTCTGTGGTTGGGTGATGGGGTCCGTGGTTGGGTGATGGGGTCAAAAAATCACATTATGGGATGGCTGGTTGTGTTATGGGATGGCAGGCTGGGTAATGGGGTCAATGGTTATGTTATGGCCTGGCTGGCTGGGTAATGGGGTCAATGGTTGGGTAATGGGGTCAAATAATCACATTATGGGATGGGTGGTTGTGTTATGGGATGGCAGGCTGGGTAATGGGGTCAATGGTTGTGTTATGGGCTGGCTGGCTGGGTAATGGGGTCAATGGTTGGGTAATGGGGTCAATGGTTGGGTAATGGGGTCAATGGTTGGTAATGGGTTCAATGGTTGGTAATGGGGTCAATGGCTGGGTAATGGGGTCAATGGTTGGTAATGGGGTCAATGGCTGGTAATGGGTTCAATGGTTGGGTAATGGGGTCAATGGTTGGTAATGGGGTCAATGGTTGGGCAATGGGGTCAATGGTTGGGTAATGGGGTCAATGGTTGGTAATGGCTTCAATGGTTGGTAATGGGTTCGATGGTTGGGTAATGGGGTCAAATAATCACATTATGGCAAGGCTGATTGTATTATGGGATGGCAGGATGGCAGGCTGGGTTATGGGGCTGTTAATCAGGTTACGGGGTCCATCATTTACACCGGAGAAGATGAACCATGGTGGGGGGTGGGGGGGAGAGACCCCCCCCCAGGACCACCCAGGACAGCCCCCTATCGCCCCCCAGGTTCACTGCAACAACATGCGCACGCGGGGGGTGAGCATCTTCACGGCGGTGGAGTGCAGCTTCAAACACAGCCTGGATGCCCCCTGGGAGCCCCCCGACGCCCCCCACCACCCCGAGGGGACAATTGGGGACCCCCGAGCTCGTTGGGTCACCGTGCCGTTAGGGGGACGCAGGGGACGCTTCGTTAGGTGTCGGTTCTTCTTTGCGGGTGAATGGATGCTTTTCAGCGAGGTCAACTTCGTGTCCGGTGGGTGGCGTCGTTAATTAAGTGGTGGGGTGATTAATTGGGTGATGGATGGATTGGTAGGTTGGGTGGAGGGGTTGTTAATTGGGTGGTGGGGTTATTAGTCTGGTGGTGGGGTCATTAACGAATTGATGGGGTCATTAATTGGGTGATGGATGGATTGATTGGTTGGGTGGAGGGGTTGTTAATTGGGTGGTGGGGTCATTAATTAAGTGATGGGGTCATTAGTCTGGTGGTGGGGTCATTAATTAAGTGATGAGGTGATTAGTTGGGTGATGGATGGATTGGTCGGTTGGGTGGAGGGGTTGTTAATTGGGTGGTGGGGTCATTAATTAAGTGATGGGGTCATTGGTCTGGTGGTGGGGTCATTAATTAAGTGATGGGGTGATTAATTGGGTGATGGATGGATTGGTAGGTTGGGTGGAGGGGTTGTTAATTGGGTGGTGGGGTCATTAGTCTGGTGGTGGGGTCATTAATGTAGTAATGGGGTCATTAATTGGGTGATGGATTGATTGGTTGGGTGAAGGGGTCATTAATTAAGTGATGGGGTCATTATTTAGGTGGTGGGGTCATTAATTAAGTGATGGGGTCATTAGTCTGGTGGTGGGGTCATTAATTAAGTGATGAGGTCATTAGTCTGGTGGTGGGGTCATTAATGTAGTGATGGGGTCATTAATTGGGTGATGGATGGATTGGTTGGGTGGAGGGGTCATTAATTAAGTGATGCGGTCATTAGTCTGGTGGTGGGGACATTAATTAAGTGATGGGGTCATTAATTGGGTGATGGATTGATTGGTCGGTTGGGTGGAGGGGTTATTAATTGGGTGGTGGGGTCATTAATTAAGTGATGCGTTCGTTAGTCTGGTGGTGGGGTCATTAATTAAGTGATGGGGTTATTAGTCTGGTGGTGGGGTCATTAATTAAGTGATAGGGTCATTAATTGGGTAATGAGTTGACTGGTTGGGTGGAGGGGTCATTAATTAAGCAGTGGGGTCATTAATTAAGTGATGGGGTCATTAGTTGGGTCGCCAGGTCATTAACTAGCAACAAAATCACTAAT